ATTGAAAGAACAAGGAAAAAGGAAAAAAAAATCATTGTTTGAGATCTATAAAGCAATGCCACACTGTCTGACAGTTTATATTAACAGGATACAAATGAAAGGCTACCAGGAGAGGAGAGAATGGCAAAAAAAAAATTAAAAGACGGTAGTTTTCCCAAACATAATGAAAGCTATCATTTTACAGGCCCAAGAACTTAGTCAGCATCAAGAAGAAAGAATTGCAAAGAAAACTACATATAGGCACAACCTGGTCAAAGAAAAAATTAAATTTTTGTTTTGGGGTCCTACCCCAAGATGCTCAAGGGTTACTTCTGGAATAACTCCTGGCAGTGCTTGGGGACCATATGGGATGCCGGGGTTCGAACCCCAGGTTGGCCGTGTATAAGCTAAGCAAGTGCTCTATCTGCTGTTATCTCTTTGGCTCCCTGGTCAAAATTCTGAAAAACAAAATTACAGGTAGAGGAGCGAATCCAGGGAGCTAAACTGAATCACAAATGCAGTTTAATAAAAAATAAAGGAGACATTGACGTGCGTAAGGAGCCAAAAGGAGAAAAAAAACTGTCAACCTAAAACATTTATATATAGAAAAGAGTATCCTTCAAAGCTGATTATTAAATAAAGATTCCTTCACACACACAGAGCAAAGGCTTCCTCTCCAACAAACTACTCAAGAAATGCCAAAAGACGTTTTTGAGGTTCAGAGAAATGATCAGGTCTGCAAGGAGGAATTTAAAAGGAGCAAAATGGACAAATATGTAGACAAAATAAAGAGATATGTATTTATGAATGATATGAAATGATATACTCATTTCTAATTTTTTTAATCTTCCCCCAATCAATGGTAGATTCTATGACATGTGTAAATATAAGCATCATAAAAGAACGGAATTAAGCTATTTTAAATTTCAAATGTATTCAAGATACCGTGATAATTAAAGATGTAAATTGTAATTTCTGGGGCAACCATTATATTTAACAAAATGAAGAGAAGCCAGAAAGGCAATCTAGGAATTAAAATAGAAGATGCGGAAAAAAACATTTATCCTCCAAATTTCAGAAAATGAGGAATAGAGAAACAATAAATGGAAATGAAGAAAATAACTTTCCTCAGTCTGTAATTATTGAACACAGAATGGCTTTGGAAATTAGCCTTTGCTACAACTCGGTGACATTTATGAATTCAATGTAAAACTACAAAGCAAACTAGAGGTACATGTACAGCTTATCCTGAATTTAAATTATTTTGACACAACTAACATTGTTCGAATCACAAGTAATCAAGCTCCATTATACACTCCTCTTGCTGTGAAAAGTTAAAACAAGAACCAAGTCCTCCATTTCAGCAATTTACAGCATGTATATTTTCCTGAACTGAAAACTACTGCTCCAACAGTGGTTTTCGGATTCAACACAAGTAAAAAAAGAAAGTTCCATATTTAACATACTCTGTGCCACTGAAGCACTTCTTCCTAGCCATCGATTGGAAGTGATTAATCTTCAGAGTAATGGTATTCTGAAGGAGAAATAGCTAAAATTTACAGAGATCTAGTAGAGCTCAGTAGATGACTATGCAGTGTATACATTCAAGGAAAATCATAGCTCAGAGACTGATATATTTGGCAGCCTCTACCTGAGATAAAAGAAGTATGGAAAATCTCATTAGTCAGAACATTAAACATTTGCAGTCAGCTTTTTGTGTGTTTGTTTTAGTGCCACACCCAGAGTTGTTGGTTTATCTCCCCAGGCCCAGCAATCAATTTTGTTTATTTGTTTATAGGCCACACCTCATGGTACTGGGGTTGAGGGGAGGGGAGGGAGGTTGCCCCCTTGTGCTTGGGGATCACCTGGTGATGGGGATGTTAAAAAGGCCTGTGAAATCATTTCTCCGATCCTACAATTCAACTATGAGACAGAAAAACACTTGATGGTTTGACTAAATGAAATGTTACAACCCTCCCTCGATGCTATCCATTCGTCTTGTGATTGAACCCCTATCACAATTATTAGTGCTGCACTTTAGAGCGTGTCAATAGAAATTTGTAGTTATTTGTTTTCCCTTTTGTAATTTATGTACCTACACCATTTCCTCCATGTGCCTCTAGGTCCTTACCAAGCCTCACAGCTTTAGAGTCCTTTAGTGAGTGATTGCAACCCCCAAGGCTTAAATGCTGTGTTTGCTACAGTTACCATTGCTTCTTTGGCTTGGCAACTTCCGACATTCTAATGCAAACTGGTGCTTTCAGAGTCTCTTGGAAAAGGAAAGGAGGAGGTAAGAATGGAAATCGACAGACCAGACCCGAGTTAAAACCTTGGTAGCTAGTATGGATGTGGCAAGCACTCCCGGTCATTCAACTCTTTGTAAGGATTTATTTGCTCATTGAACACACTCACAAGCGTCTTACAGCCCCCCCCCCCCCCACACACACACCGTTTTATAGAAGCAGAAGAGGAATTGCCAGGCATCACTCTATTGATAAGTGATGTCAGAATTTAGCCCAGCTAAGGGACTCCAGAAGCGAAGTTAGCAAAATCATCCTGATGGGGGGAACTGAGGAGACAAGTGGTCCAAAGCAGAGGGGCGCTGTGGCCTGAGATCTTTCTTCTAGGGAGAACGGGGCTCATCATATGATAAAACTGGGGGCTCACAGACCCCCCACCCCCTACTCACTCCCACGTCCCCCCAACTCGGGACTCATTCCCACCGCAAATGCTTTAATAAACTCAATGAGTATTGTCTGGATGGGTGTGTTTGATAAAGCACGTGCGCATTTTATGATGCAGGGGGTAGGATGGGGGGGTCAGAAAGGTGGGTAGGAAAAGCTCCTAGGGGCGCCGGGGATCTGGGGAATCAGTCCTGAGCTCCCCATCAACACGTCAGCGTGGATAAACGCGTTGGGTCGCACGCACACCGTACGCCAAACTCCTCTACTCTGCACCAAGCCGGGCTGAGGAATTGAAAAACACCGCGCCGCGTTCCGTTTCCCGGAACAGACAACCCAGCGCGTTTTTTTTTTTTTAAAGAGGCAAGTACTGTAACACTGTAGCACTGTCCTCTCAGTTGTTCATTGATTTGCTCCAGCGGGCACCAGTAACCTCTCACAACAAATTGTGAGACTTGTTGTTATTGTGTTCGGCATACCGAATACGCCACGGGGGAGCTTGCCAGGCTCTGCCGTGGGGACGGGATACTCTCGGTAGCTTGCGGACGGAGGACTCGAACCCGGGTCAGCCGCGTGCAAGGCAAAACAACGCCCTACCCGCGGTGGCTGAGCGCTCCAGCCCAAAGAGGGCAAGACGAGCAACCAATCAACATCCTAGTGCTCAACATCCTTTGCCACCCAAACAAAACGAAACAAAACAAAAAGAAAAAAGATAAACTCCAGTCCCACCGGCCGTTTCTCCCAGGCACATCAAGATTCCAGCCGGGGCACCCCGCCCCCTGGACCCTGCGGCCGGCTGGCCAATGACCGCTCGGGAGCAGCGCGGCCCGGGGGGCGAGGGGAGGCGGCGGCCGGCCGGGGACGGCGTCCTGGCAACTTTGTAGTCGAGTCACCTCCGGCGCGCCGGCGGCCGCTGTGGCTTTAAAAGGGCAGCGGGTTTCCAGCGCGGCGGGCGGGCGGGGGCCACTGCCCAGGCAGGCGCGCGCCCACCCCCCCTTGACCCCCGCCGGCCAGCGGTGGCACCCCCAGACCCCGCCGCGGCGCACCCGGGCCAGGCGGGTGCAGCGCCCGCGCCCCGCTTTGTCTCCGCGCGCCCGGCCGACGCTTCCCGGGGCGCGCGCGGTAACCCGAGCTCCGGTTTCCTGGTGGATTCTCTTAAAGAGGCCGCGGCCCGCACCCAGAACAAAGGCTATTGTCTTATTTCCTCCCGGGCAGGTCCGCGTCCTCACCGGAATGTCCCTTCCTCGAGAATGAATCTCGGCGCCTCTGTGCTCCGAGGAGGAGAAGGGAGGAGGAGGAGGAGGAGGCGGGAGGAGGAGGAGGGGATGGGGAGGGGGAAGAAACCCAGCGCACCCCCCCACCCCCCACATACACACCTAACCCTATTGCACCGAATAACCCACCCCGGGTGCCTTCCTGGCTCTAAAGAGCTCTCAAGGGAAGGTGGGTGGGGGGCGTGGAATGAACACAAGCAGCTGGGGGAGGGGGTGTGTTTCTGGAGAGGAGTTCCCCCCCACCCCACCCCTCCAAGCCTGGGACTTTTATTTATTTATTGGTTAAAAAAAAAAAGTGTCTTCCTGGAGCGAGGCGATTGTTGCGCCGAGCTCAAGCCAGGAGGGGGGGCGGGTGCTGCACCGGCCGGACCCCTCCCTAAGCTTCCCCTTCCCCAGGTCTCCTCTCCTTCCCCCCTACCCTACCCCGGCGCCCCTCCCCCGCGCCCGCGGCGCTCTCTCTCTTTTTTTCCCCCCCCCATCCCCCTCCCCCGTGTCCAAGCCGGGCTTGTAACCCGAGCTTGAATTTCCTGGTGGCTCCTTTAAGAGGCAGAGCTCGGGTGCTGGGAATTCACGTCAGTTTCGGGCCCGAAACTCTCCAGATCAATGAGCAGCGGGCTTTCTCGGGGCTGCCTTTCAGTTTCTCTCCTCTTCCAGGAAGGAAAACACTCGGGCGAGCGGGGAGCGAGCGCCGAGCGCGCGGCGGCGGCGGCGGCGGCGGGAGGGCGGGGGTGGGAGGAGAGAGCGGAGGGGCGAGCGGAGCGCCGCGCAGAGGGGAGGAGAGCGGCGCGCCGAGCGGGGCGGCGGGCGGGCGGGCGCGAGAGCCAGCGAGCTGGGAGCCAGCGAGCGAGCTGAGCAGCGAGCGCGGCCGGCCCCTGCGCCCCGGCTCCCGGCGCCAGCCGTCGCCGCGCCCCGCAGCCCCCCCGCCGCAGCCCCCGCCGCTGCCCCCGCCGCTGCCCCCGCCGCCGCCGCCGCCGCCGCCGCCGCGCCGGGCCCGGCTCCGGCTCCGGCTCCGGCTCCGGCTCCCGCTCGGGCTCCCGCTCGGGCTCCGGCTCCCACGCCCCCGCCGGCCGCGCCGCGCGCTCCGCCCCGCGCGCTCCCCCCGCGGACCCCCGCGCCCGCCGCCGCGATGCTGCAAGAAACTTCTTAAATGACCGCGTCCGGCCGGCCGGCCCCGCGGGGAGCGTCGCGGGCTTGGGGCGAGGAAGGGGGGAAAAAAAAAGAAGAAAAAAAGAAAAAAAAAAGGAAAGTGGAAAAAAACTGAGAACTTCCTGATCTCGCTCGCCGTGAGACATGTCTGAGACTCCTGCTCAGTGTAGCATTAAGGTAAAGAGCTCTTGCGCGTCCCTCCCCGGCGGCGGCGGTGCCGGGGTTGGGGGGGTGGGCGGCGGCGGCGGCGGCGGGGGGGCGACCTGGAGCTCGCGCCGGGTGGGTGGGGGGCTGTCTCCAGCCCCCAGGGGTGCGCGGGGTGGGGTGGGGTGGGGTGGGCTGCGGCGCTGGCCCGGCCGCCGTGCGCAGTTATTTGGGGACGCCGGGGACGGAGATGCAGCTCGCGGCCGCCGCCAGTACCCTTTGGTGTAACCTTGCTGCACCCCCCCCACCCTCCTCTTCCTCCTCTTCCTCCTCCCCCTCCTCCTCCTCCTCCTCCAACCAAGCCCCCTCTTGGGCTCCTCGGCCCCCCCACCCATCCACCCAGCCCCCCCTGCGTTTGTTTTTAACAATGCAATGCCAGTTACCGTTGGTCAAAGAGGATCCGGAGTTGTCTCTGGAAACCCCCAAACACTCCCCCCCCCCCACCCCACCCCATAATTAGTACGCTTAAAAAAAAACTCAACAAAACCCAACCAACCCAGCGCCCCTACTCCTGCTCCTACCATGTGACTCCAATGTAACTTTTGTTTTGGAGGGTGGTCGCCTTTAGGGGTGTAGGGGTGTGTGTGTGTGTGTGTCGGGGTGGGGGGTGAAGTTGTGCAGTCTGTCTTGGGGATGCAATTGATTATTTGAAGGACTCTTGGGTCTGATCAGATTAGGGTTGTTTCCCCCCCCCCCCCCCCCCCCCCTCTGTAATCGTAAACGTTGTCGGAGAGACAGTTCCTGGTGTCAGCTTTTTTCCTGGGCATTGCACAATGAATTTCTCTCCTTCTTACTGTTTTCAACCAAGGTGAGCCAAGTTGCTGAATGGTTATTGACTCCGGTGCCTAGGAAAGTCGTGCAATCCCCAAGTAGAAAACTCCCGTGGACAGGGAGAAGAGAATTAACCTGAGTGACCAGGGCAAAATGACCTTCCCTGTTTGACAGAGCAGAGAGCAGTTCCCGGGAGCTGAGAGCACCCGGGTTTTTCCTGGCTGTGTTTTGTAGCTCGGTGAATGCGGGCTGGTGGATGTTTGCAAACACAGAGCTTTGGCGTCTGAGTTCTGTTGGTGCATATGTTTTTGTATCTGTAAAGGTGGTTTGTTGCTTCTGAAAAAGTTGTTGTAAAGTTTGCCACCGGGAGGAGGCAGAATGATTCGTTCCTGGCACCCAGTTATTTTGCGTTTATTTATTCTGTGCTTTTATTCATTTCCCTGTTCTATCAGTACCTAAGGGGGGGAAAGCCAGCTAACTCGGGAGAGCCGCTGAAGTTTATTTTGGGCTTGGGCCCTTGGTTGGTGTGTGTTCACCGAGTGTCCAAGGTAGAGAAACAATGAATAAATGACCCGGTTTCTCCTGCAGGGAATTTGACAAACCTTTTCTGTTTTAACACTGCTTTCCCACTGGGATCTGGTTAGAGGAAACAGCTTTTTTTTTAAATTATTATATTTGCTTACTAGGTTTTCATAATTGGACTAGATCTAGCCTCTTCTCATAGGGAAGATTTTCAGGGGTTTGAGGTAGGACTGAAGTGAACCTAAAAGGTGAGTTTTTTTGTTTGTTTGTTTGTTTGTTTTGGGGCCACACCCAGCTGTGCTCAGCACTTATTCCTGGCTCTGGCTGGCTGTGCTCGGGACCATATGGGGCACTGGGATCGAACCTGGGTCAGCCATGTGCCAGGCAAACCCCGAACTCGCTGCATATCTCTGCGGCCCCACGTTGTTTTTTTTTAGTCTCAACAGAGCGCTCAGGGGAACTTGGGAGGTCCTGTGTTTTGTGTTCCTCTGACCAGACCAGTGGGTATTGACAGAGGGGCGGGTTGTCAAAGAGTAAAGAACTTGGGGAGACTTTCAATTCTGTTGGAAAGTTTCACTGCTCTGTCAAATCCTCTGGTACGGATCGTGTAATACGTTAATGAATCGACTTGACATTTCCTTACCCAAACAGCGGTAACTAAATAAATAGGAGCACAAAGTCAGAGAATTCTCTTTTGCTGAGTGACAGTCAGTTTGCTATCGGGACAACGGGGAAGGAACACCTCTAGGGGGAGTGATTTTAGAGTGTGAACCGCAAAAAAATAAAAATTAAAAAATTAGAAAAAAAAGAAAAAGAAAAGCAAATCTGTCTCTGTTGGCTTTTCTTGTTGCCTCTTCCAAAGGAACTCAGCCCCCTCTCTTGTGATGGGCCGGTGTGGAATGTGGCCGGCCGGAGTGCTGTGGAGTGACTTGTGTGTCTGAGACCGGTGTCACAGCCCCTTACACACACAGAACCAACCCCCTTCTGGACTGACAGTTGGCCTGTCATCCCCCCCCCCCCCACCCCCTTACTGCTCTTTTTATTTTTTATTTTTTTAAAATTTTATTTTATTTTATTTATTTATTTATTTGCTTTTTGGGTCACACCTGGCGGTGCACAGGGGTTACTCTTGGCTCTGCACTCAGGAGTTACTCCTGGCGGTGCTCAGAAAACCATATGGGATGCTGGGAATCAAACCCGGGTCGGCCGCGTGCAAGGCAAATGCCCTACCCGCTGTGCTCTCTCTCCAGCCCCTCACCCCCTGATCTTTTTAGGTGCTTGTTTCGGGCCTTGAGTCTCTAATTTTCTATGTAATTGTGCCTGCCCTCCCCTTATTTGGGCTTCTTCAGGCACCCCTCCTGCACAGACTCCTTGCCTAGCCAGCGAGGACCCGATCGGGGGCGGATGGGGGGGGTGTGGATTTTCCCCTGCAGAGTTTGTTTAAATTGCGGCTGTGTTCCAGTCCTGAGAGCTGGAGATGAAGAGCTGGGATTATTCCAGGTCATCTGAAGATGTGGTCGGGACGTGTGCGGGGGGGGGGGGGGGGGGGGGGGGGGGGAGGGGAGGGGGGACGTACTGCGAGTCCTTGGGATGTGGTGGAGTGACTACAGAATAAGCAGTGTTTGCTGGTCACCCACAAGCTAGTCCTTGGATGTTTTGCGGAGTCCTGCTCGCTGCCGTGTGCCGCAGGGAATGAGGGGCTGAAGCTTGTACGGCCAGGCGGCTGGCTGCAGGGCAGAGGCTCTGCATGTGGAGGGCTCGGCCTGGGACCCCCAAGCCTTCCCCGCTCCCTCACACTCCTCGCAGGCCGCAGGCCGGGGATGTCTCAGCCACAATTGGAGGGACCACGGGGGTTCCTGAGCAGAGGCAGAAGCTATTGAGGGAGGGACTGGGTTGACTTCTTTATTTTGGTTTTGTTTTGGGCAGGGGCACACCCAGCGATGCTCAGGCCTTGCTTCCTGGCTCTGCGCTCAGGGGTCACTCCTGGTGGGCTTGGGGGACCCGATGGGGTGCTGGGGAACCGAACCCGGGTCGACTGTGTGCACGGTGCACGTCCTACCTGCTGGCTGTCTCTTTGGCCCCTCGGTTTCCTTCTGAGCAGTGGCTGTTCTCCTCTGAAACGGTGGGGCAAGTGGTGACGGATTTCCAAGGCGAAAGTTTCTCGGTTCCTGAGTGAGAATTGTTGGCCTGGTTCGGGAGGCCGGGGAACGCCTGGTGCGGGCTCGCTACTCGGAGATGTTCACGCCAGGCCCAGGTTTTCCCAGAGAAGTGTGGCTGGGCCACCCGGGTCCACTCAAACAATTCCTTAAGCCCCTCAGGGCCTCAAGGTTCTGTCTGTCTGCCTTTCTCTGTGTGTGTGTGTGTGTCTGTGTCTCTTTCTCTCTGTGTTTATACGTCTGTGTATGTGTGTGTCTGTTTCTCTGTGTTTGTGTATATGTGTGTCCTCTGTGTGTCTCTGTGTCTGCTCAGTGTATGTCTATCTCTGTGTTTGTGTGTGTCTGTCTCTCTCTCTGTGTTTGTATGTGTGTCTTGTCTCACTCTCTGTGTTTGTGTGTGTCTGTCTCTGTCTCTGTGTGTGTGTTTGTGTATGTGTGTGTCTGCTCTGTGTGTATCTGTCTCTCTCTGTTTGTGTGTGTGTCAGTCTCTGTGTGTCTGTTTCTCTGTGTGTACATATGTGTGTCCTCTGTCTCTGTTTGTGTGTCTGCTCTGTGTGTGTCTTTCTCTGTGTTTGTGTGTGTTTGTCCATGTGTATGTCTGTCTGTCTCTGTGTGTGTGTTTGTATATGTGTGTCTGTCTCACTCTCTGTGTTCCTGTGTCTGTCTGCTCTGTGTGTGTGTCTGTCTCTTTCTCTGTGTATTGTCTCTTTCTCTCTCTCTGTGTTTGTGTGTCTGGTCTCTCTGTCTCTGTGTGTGGTGTGTGTCTGTCTCTCTGTTTGTGTGTGTTTGTTTGTCTCTCTGTTTGTATATATGTGCGTCTGTCCCTGTGTTTGTGTGTCTGTGTCTCTGTGTGTTTGTGTGTGTGTGTGTTTTTTTGTGTGTGTGTTTGTGTGTGTGTCTGTGTGTTTGTGTGTCTCTGTGTGTTTGTGTGTGTGTGTGTCTGTCCCTGTGTTTGTGTGTCTGTCTGTCTCTTTCTGGCCTTTTGGGGGTTTTCAGTGTAAAGACAGGGTCACCTCGCTCCAGCAGCCTGTCTTCAGAAGATGATCGCGGCAGCCTGGGCTGGTCACGGGAGGGAGGGAGAGGCTGTCTTTTCCGTCAGCCTTCACCTTCAAGTCACCTGTTCAGCTTTAAGTTCAGCCAAGTTGCAGCGGACAGTGGTCACAGCCCCTGGCGGGCACTGAGCACCTGTGCCGCGTGGCCTTGTATCCCCTGCCCGTTCGCCAAATGCAACCGTTGGGATTTTGCTGCTCACTGGGGCGCTCTCTGGGTTTCCCCCAGCCGGACTCGGGCTCCTTCGGTTTCGCGATGATTATCTCTGTGTCCTCTCCCACCGCTTGGAGTCTGGCACAGAAATGTTTCTCAGTAATGCCTGCAGACTGGAAGCGATGCATGGAACGAGGTCAGCGCCCTTTCCTCTGTCTCTGCCTGTGTGTTTGAGGGGGCCCTTTTAGCGCCAGCTTAACCTGCCTGGCCTGAGCGTCCAGCTGGCCACATGGCTCTCTGTGGGCATGGGTGGAACAGAGC